AAAAAAAAAAAAAAAAAAAGCATTATCCATAAAGGAAAAGATTAATAAATTGACTACCTGAAAATTAAGAACTTCTGTTCATCAAAAGACACAATTAAATGTAAGTGATGAATCACTGAATTCTACTCCTGACACCAACATTACACTATGTTAACTAACTCGAATTTAAATAAAAACTTGAAACAAAACACCACTAAAAGACTGAAATGGAAAGCACATCAGCAATACGTACATATGACATAAGTCTTATCTTTAGAATATACTGAAACTCCTACCAATTGACTTTTTTTTAACGGGCAAAAGACTGGAAAGAGGATATACAAAGAGCCAAAAAACAAATGTAAAGGTGCTCGCCATCATCACCCATCAAGAAATGACAAATTAAAACCACAATGAGATAAAACCACACACCCATCAGAATGGCTAGAAATAAAAAGACAGTGTACTGAGCACTCGTGAGTACGTGGAACAAAGAGAAAGCTAAAACTTTTTGGTAGGAGTGTAAACTGGCACAACTCTTCTGGAAAACTGTATGTACTGAAAGGGAACATACACATCCTCGGAAGACTCGACCATCCCACCTCTTGGTATATGTACACCAACAGGAAGGTATATATATATATATGGGCACCAAAATCCATGTACATGCACATTCACAGTAGCATTATTTACTTCCAGTTCAAAACTGGAAGCAGCCCAAATGTCCATCAACTGGACAAGCATACACAAGTTGTGGCATAAGCATTCACTAGGATACCATAAATAAAAACGCACAGACAACTACTACATGCAACAACATAGACAAATCTCACAAACAGATTGTTACCGCAGGAAGCCAGGCACAAAAGAAGCTACAGTGAGCTCAAAAAGGGAAAACCTAATCTATAGTGCTAAAGTCCCAAAATGGGTTATCTTTTAAAGGGTGACAACCGAAAGGGACGGGCAGGAAGCTTCCAGAGTACGAGTGATGTTCTATATCTTGACGTGGGTGACGGTTACAAGGCTGTGTTCACTTTGTGAGAATTCTCTGAACTGTAACCACTTACAATGAATGTATGTACTATTCTGCATATATGTTATAACCCCAAAATTTATTTAATAAAAAATATGTATGTGACCAAAACGACAATACCCAGAAATAAAGCTGATCAAAGAAATGTATAAAATCTTTATGGAGAAAAACTAACAATATGATTATAAATTTCACATACAGGAGTGAAAGGCCAGAAAAGTGTGTATGTATAGTAAGGGGAAAGATTTTTACCACTAGGTTCAAGGCTTTACGACAGTGATTCAGGTAGCAAGAAATTTAGAACAGGAAGAGATAAGTAATTCAACAAAATCAACTAAAATCAACAAAAAACTTGACATGCGACAGAGGAGGCATTACAAATCTGGGAGTAAAGAAGGGGCTAATCAATAAGTGATGTTGACACAACATATGACCCATTTCAAAAAAGAAACTTAAAACTAGATTCCCAGCCTCACAACACCTTCAAAAATAAATTCCATATGGACTCAAAACCCACGAAAAGTAAAAAACTTTAAAATATTTAGAAGAAAATACAGAAGAATATGACTCTAGGTAGGTAAGGATTTGTTACAGAAGACACAAAAAGTACAAATGATAAAGGAAAGGACGAAAAAAATAGGACCACATTAAAACTTATGGTCAACAAAAGATACGATTAAGTAAAAGGCAAAGCAGACAACTACAGCACAATCAACAAACGACTCTCATTCCTAATACAGAAGGAATCCAACAAATTTCAAAGAAAAAGTGAAACAACCGACTTTTTAAAGAGGCAATCAGAAGAGCTAAAAACTGAGCAGCCAAGTAAATATGAAAAGCTGCTTACACGCTATAGCTAATGCGTGCATCAGGAGGCTCCCCCCATTCCCAGTTCTGCCACTATCTAGATGTGACCATGGACAAACATCTTACATAGGTACCTCGATCTCCTCGTTTGCAAATGGTGAGATTTGGGCTTCACCAGATAATTATAAAAATGTCTTCACTAGATAATAATAATTCTTTCAGTAGATAACTATAAAGGTCAAATTATTAAATACGTGAATTTGTGAAATTTAAAAAAAATCAGTGCAACACACAGATGAAAAGTCGTTACCATTATCACTAGTAACAATATAAATCTTCTAACTATTAATGCTCTTTCAGCAATTTGTTAATTTTCCTATTAATAGCAAAGGGAGGGTTCATATGAAACCATAAAAGGAAAGTCAGCGGAAAAAATATTCAGCAGCACGTTTCCAACACCATCCTTGGGAATGGACTCCCTGACCCACCCCTGCAAATAGCACGTGTGCTTTGAGGTGTGCTGAGGAGTGCTTTCTGCACTCCTTATTCATTCAACAACATTTTTTGATACATACTATGTGTCAGGACCTGTTAGGTACTAAATAAGGCACGGACCCTATTCTCATAGGGTCCAGCATAGAAGACACAGAACAAACAATAATTAATCTCACAATTAATTGATTAATTAACGGGTGCTGTGCTAAGGACGTCAAAGGTAAAATAACAGTGCACAAGAGTGCACGTAACAAGGGACCTGACCCAGTCTAAGGGGTCAGAGAGGACTTCCCTGAGGAAGCGACATTTAAGCTGAGACCTGCGGCATATCAAAGTCTCATTCTTGGATGACACAAACCATTAAGATCATCCATCTAAATCCATGGCTCTAATACCTCCTCACCCAACAAACTTCTGGTTTTAATTTCACTTCCAACAGAGGTCTTGCTTGTTATAAGGAGAAAATATGTTGATCTCTGCCACAGATATTCTGGTTGGCTTGGCACTTACATCTCTAATTCCAAAACTAAAACTAAAAGAAGGAAATGAGGTATATTCTGAGCAATGGTAACATAGAAGGCCACACGGTAATGAGCAAAGAGACCCTTGGTTCTAACACTGTCTCTGTCACTGTGGTATTTAAGCTGATCAACTGAACTATCTGAGACACCATCTCCACGTTCTTCCTCAAGGGGAGAAATTCAGTACATCTCTGAGATCCCTTCCAGCTACAATAGTTCAAGGGCTAAATGCAAGAAAAGGGCAAAGAGGTCATATAGCTCTACCTTTGGCTTTCTTGGTAGCGAAATAACGGATTGGTACAGCTGGTGAGGCCATGTATTGTCCACGGTCACTTTGTCTGCCACTCACTGTCTTCAGCGTCACTTCTGAAACAGGTCTGGTCAAGGCTGCAAAGGAGTTACAAAAGACAGGGTGGACCAAGCGGAAGCATCTTAATCCCAAGGCCATGCCGGAAGACAATCCTTGTGAACATTCACTATAAAGACTAAGACCAAAAAAAAAAAAAAAGAAAAGAAAAAAAAGGGAAAACAGATAGTATTACAACTTCAGAAAATAATTTGTACCAGTTATCAAGCAACAACTGCAAACTAAGCTATGTGCCAGGCAATTTAAATATATTACCTCCTCCCAACAGCCATACAAGGAAATATGATTAGCCCCATATTACAGAAAGATACTGAAGCTCACAGAGATTTAAGTAACTTGCCCACAGTCTGTAGGACTCCAAATCGCCAGGCTCTTTCCACTGTACCAAATGCCCCTTATAGTACACAGGAAACACAGAGTTAAGTAAATGTGCAGCAGCTGAAATCTTTAATGATGCTAATTAAACCCTTACATGAGAAAAGGCAAAAAAATCTTGATAAAGTTATACTCTAAAAAGGGAGGGCAGAGCACTGGAAGAGGACTTTAAACTAAATTTAAAAAACTCATTTCAACAGGCATAAAATGACTGGAAAATTCACACGACAGCATTTAATTAAAATTTTCTTTGGTTCCTTATGCGCTGATTACCAATTAGAATGCACTTTACTTTAATGTGAGTCTGAAGCACGGTTGAGGTTTGAGGTCTTCCATGTTACAGAACTAAAGCTCTGGAAAATGCCACCCTCCTCTGTGTTAACACAAGTTATACATTATACTTCTAAGGTCTCTGACCATGAAAAGATGCGGGAGTCTATAGCCAGCTTCTGCCAGGAATCTGGCTATCACTCAGTTAAAACCAAGAGCAATTAGCATCAAATACCTGGAAGTTACTATCTTTGAAAATCAGTCCTATACCTCATTAGAGAAAAAAAAAAAAAATCCCATCCTTAAATGTTAATGCAGCAGAACTGAATAAAAGCATGCACTTTGCAGCCAGGAAGACTGGGAATCTAATCCCAGCTCCACCACTGACTAAATGCCCCTGAACATCTCTGCACCTTCATTTCCTCAGCTGTGAAATGGGGATAATTATAGTTATTTCTTAGGCTCGGGAAGAATAAATGAGTTTATGCAGGTAAGATAATTGGCACAGTGCCCAGCTAATAGCAGGAGCCCCCAAAAGATTATCTGTTGACAGCTATCACCTTTCCTTTCAAAAAGACTTCTACACAACGGTCAGACACAACAAAGAATCCCGCGTGTCTTTACCAATGTATAAGATAGTCTAGTCAGTCAGATCTGGATGTAAATTCCAACTTTGGGCAATTCACTGCACCTATCTGGGCATCACTTTCTTCATCTGCAAAATGAGAAAAATAATCCTGATCTTAAAATGAGATAGTAAATGCATGTAAAACACCTAGCACAGTGCCCGGGATATAGTACCTACTTAATAAATGCTAGCTACCATTATTATTATTTCTTAAAAGAAAAGCGAGTAAATCAAAGGCAAATAATTTCTCCTGATGGAGTTTTTTTTTTTTTCTCTCCTGCTGGAATTTTTAATAGCAAGGGATGCTAGATGTCAGTGATTGACTGCATGAAATCAGTAAAAGCAAATCTAGATTTTAAAAAGTATCTTTCCTCTTCTTTAATTATTTTCAATAGCTACTATTAATTGAAGTCAGGCCTGGGCTGCTTGCTTTACCATGTCTAATCCTCCCAATAATGCCACAGAGAAAGTATAATAATCTCCATTTTACAGATGTAGAAACTGATGCTCAAAGAGACCATCGTTGTCCAAGGGCACGGAACTATTAGCTCTGCCTTATTTTGCCAAAACTGTTCACAAAATTTGGCTCTAAGTGAGGTTTCTATATCTAGGTTTTTCTAATATAGCCAATGCCTTACCCACACTTATATCCAAATATGGCTGTATAATAATGTGTTTTGTTGTTGTTGTTTTTTTTAATCTACAGGGTTTCAATCTGGCTGCTCCATTTAAGACAGGTTTCCTGGTGTTCCTGTTGCAGGTCATAATACCAATCCACAAAGCAACAGGAAATCAAAATGGGTTAGAAATAAACAACCTTTGACAGAAAGCGCAGCACCCAAAAGCAGACCCAGTACATGTGAACCGGAAGACAACTCTATAAATAAACCACATTGCTGAAATGTTTTAGGCGTAGATTTTAATTGCACAGAAGTCAGGAAATTTCAAAGTAGAGGTTCAATAAAGGCAGTCCCTTGGGGCCTTTACCTTAAGGACATGCATATTAACAGTTCAGCACAGAAGAGTTAGTCAAGGAAAGGAACTGTCACAGGAGCCCAGGTATTATCCGACAAAATTAACCTAAACTCAGAAAAAAATGTGAGAAAGTATTTGGGCTTTGGACACAGTCTTGAAATGGAATCCCACACTTAGGAGCTGTGTGACCTTGCATAGATCATTTAGCCTCTCTGAGCTACAGTTTCCACCCCATTTTTACTGCCGTGATATTACTGAGCCTTCAAAAAGATAATTGTAACAATAATAATGAAACAATTGCTAACATTTACAGAGTTACAACTATGTGCCAGAAACTATTCTAAACGCTGTATTGCATACATTAACTCATTTGAGCCTCATGATATCACTATGAAAAAAGGACTATTAGTATACCCATTCTATGGATGAAGAAACAAAGGCACAGATAACTTGCCCAAGATTAGATTTCAGGCAATCTAGCTCCAGAGTCTGTGCTCTTATCCAGTGTACTGTATACTATTACATATATGAAACACTCAGCAATTATTGACGTTATTATTGAAACTGTTGGGAGTATATTTTAAATCTATTTGAGGCACATACTATTTTTCCAAAGTTAAGGTTCTCAAAACTTGACTTTGTGTTTTCTATAGAAGGTGCATTTTAATTTTGTAAAGAACTAGATGAGGGACACAAAGGCCTAGCTTATCTATTGTCCCAGCAACTTCTCACAATCCAGCTGTATATTAGCTTATAATATGTACATTTTTATAAACACGGATGTGGGTCCTCATTGTATATAAAGTACTTTCACATGTATTATCTGATAACCAAATTCATAATTACCACCCACATTTTACAAATAAGCAAAATGATTTTTCATTTCCTTGAATATTCCTCCTGCTCCTGGGTCTTCAAACATAATGCTGAAGTTGAATCTGCTTGGAATGATCTTCCCCCACCTCTTTAATGAACTACCTCTCATTTTTCTTTCAGATTTCAGCTTAAGCATCACTTTCTCAGAGGATGCCTTTCTTGGCTGTCTCCTCCAGTCCAACTCGGTCAAATGTCCTGTAGCCCACTTTCATCAACACCCTATACTTTTTTCATAGCACTTAAACAGTATCAGCTAATATCTGTGTAGTTATTTGATCACTGCCTACATCCCTCCCTGAGACTATAACCACCACAAAGACTGATCTCTGGTTCTCTTGTTCACTGCTGTACCTCCAGCATAGCACAGCCCCTGAATACAGAAGACACTGAATATGAGTGATGAATACATACATGAATGAAAGTCCAGAAAGATTAAGTCCTTGCCCAAGGTCACAATTACGGTGCAAGATCTGGACTCTAAGCCTCAGATTGAAGGTCCTGGGCTCTACTTCCCAACAGTGCTTCGATCATCTCTTAGTCTCCCAGATTTTTCACATAGAGATAGTAGGGTATGCTCTCTAAATTCAGTGCCACACACAGGTATTTGCAGCAACTGACTACATAGTATCTGACTATTCACAGCATCATGACTACAGTATAGAATCATGTCCCTGATGTAACCAAAGGAGGATGACACACTTTAACAGGTAGAGAAAGAACTTTTGCCTAAGAGCTAGAAGGTACAGATCCCAATATTCCTATCTCATCACTCCCTGCCAACAATCCTCTTTAGATTCATAACCACCTGTATTACAAAAAGCATTTGTGGCAGCTCTCCAGTGACATGTGACTTGTACCAAACCACTTCTCCTACCTAGATTGTGTTTCGCCAACTGCAAAATGAAGGGTCAGTTCAGGTTTTCATTCTTTCGAACTATAAAGCTCTCCAAGATTCTGGAAAATGCAGTAGAGTGCGGCGAAAGGAAAAAAGGCACCAAACTTAGAGAAGACCTGGGAAAGAGTCCTGGTTCTAGCACTTCCTAGATATGTGACCTCAGATAGATCACACTCCCTGGACCTCAATCTCCTAGGTAAAATGTAGATGACAGTACTATTTGTCAGGGTTACCAGGACGATCGAATGAGGTAAGGGCTGCAGAAACACTTTGTAACTAGACAACGGCTACTGAAATGGCAACTGTTTGCTGAGGGAAGGCACAGAGTAATGGTTAAAAGTTAAGGTTTTGTAATTTAAGCTCCATCCCTCACCAGCCGCATGACCCTGATAAAGTTATTTCTCTGAGCTTCCATTTCTTCATCTTGGGGGGGGGGGGGGGAGGGTAATAATACCTACCCCCGTGGGATAGTTCTGAACACTAAATGTTCCTGCCAGATAGTGGGCTACAAAGGAGGGGATGCTATTGAATAAGCACCCTCCCCTCCGCATCCTCGAAGTTCGCAGCTGAGGGGACGAGCCCCGCCCCCACCCCACGAAAATCTCGCGGAAGCGACAGGTCCCGCCCCCAGTCTTAAAGGTCAAGCCGGATTCGAATGGAACCGGTCAGGGTACGGTGATCAGACTCCCTCAGCTTCCCCAGAGATGCTTGAGTAGAGGTCTCTGGCACCCGGATCCAGCGCGCGACTCGAGGCCGTGCAGAGGCCACTCACCAGCTATCGCCCAGGCTACTAGGAAAAGACACACGCGACCGCGGAGACGGCGGCGGCGCGGGCGCCATGACGTCACGGAGCGGCGCGGCGGCGCAGGCGTAGCGCGTCACCGACGGCCTGGCAGCGGGCGACGTTGAGGTGGACGCGCCTGGAGGGCCGTCGGGCTGCGGGGTCGGGACCTGTTTCTGGGGCATGAGCCGAGGGGACGACGCCGAGGCCACGAGGTGAGTCCCGCCGCGAGGTGCCTCTGCACCTGAGCACCGACCCCGCGAGGGGCTCGTAGAGGAGGCTGCCCTAGCAAGACGGCTTCTCAGGCCCCGCCCCGGATTGTCCCGCCGCTAGCCCGGAAATAACAATCCGAGAAATGACCCATTGCATCTGGGAATTCGCGGCCAGGAATCGGGAAGCCGGGGTTCCAGGCTTGACCCTGCCATTACCCTTAGCTTTAGGGACAAGTGGCTTTGCTTCTCTGGACTTTATTCCCTGTAGGATTATTCTTGCCTTCCAGGCGGCTGCAGTTTGACTGCGAGGATAGATGTAACAAGCGTTTTTTGTGAACTCTGTTAATCTAGGGGATTGTCGCCATTGCAAACCTAAAAGATTTTAATGGTCGCATGACATCTTGATCTTATTACGCTTTTACAAAAGGCCCAGTGCTAAACTGTCACAGATACTCTTATTTAAACCCCTCAACGACCCATGAGTTAGGGATAATCGTGCCCATTCTAGAAAGGAAGAAGAAAATGAGGTTCCAAGTGGAGCCCCGTTCATTCATTCAGTTAATATTGAGCACCAGGCAGTGTACTAAATGCTGTGAATGGAACTATGTCCAGGATAGGAAGGTCCTCCAGGAGCTTACATTCTGGTGAGGGAAACAGAAAATAGAATAGTAAATAACGTGGAACGAGCAGTATACAGAAAGAAAAGGTGGCTATGGCTCTACTCTTAGGAAAAGCTTTTCTGGAAAGACACTTAGCTAAAGTCACACAATAACTGGGTGCCAAAGCCAGGATTTGAATACAGATCTTTCGGCCCCGTATCCCACACTCTTGCCACTAAAACATGCTACCCTTTTGTCATATTAAGTAGTAGTGGGTATTCCTGTTTTCAGACATGAGAAAATCCGAGAAGGTCCTATGATTGAAGTGTCATCGCAAATGTTGTCTCTTTTAGAGAGGACTTCCCTCTCCACTGATGCTGAAGTAGTCCAACCCCAGTCTCCATGTCAGATCACCTTGCTAAATTGTGTTTGCAGCTCTGTCGCTAATTATACCTTGTTTATTTATCTTGTGTTTGTGTTGTCCCGCCCCTCCTCCAAACCATGAGCATTCCAAGCACAGAGAGCTTATTTGGTCACTGCTTTGTCCTAGACAATGCCTAGAAATAGAAGCTCAGTTTTTCTTTTTGGAATGAATGAATGATCTGTAGGAAAATAGGAGGATAGGAAAGCACAGAGAATACAGAATGCTTCTCCTGGTCTGTTTCCACTCCTAGGATTCTGTTTCTGTGTGTTTCACCTTTCTCTCAGGAGGTAAGAGCAAGAACTACAAGCTTATTCATTTCTCTTTTTTCAGCACATAGCCATGGGCTTAGCAGTTAGCAGTTGCTTGTCACACTTTGTTGAACACATTGAAGACGTGAGTGGGAAAGGTAGAATGATACCCTCACGTGAGGGGCTGGATAAACATGTTATTAACAATAACTTAGCGCCCACTGTGTACCAGACTTCATGGGCTGTGCTGAGATGAATAAGAGGTAATGGCAGTGATCAGTGTATGTCATCTGCTGTTTTTAAGACCTTTCCTTTTAAGTCACACAGCCTGCTTTCCTACAAGCACTATCCTCTGAGGCACTTCGGGTTACATAGTATCTGTTTCCTAGAGCAAGGAGTTGTAAAGTCTGGCACAGCCTGCCATCTTCCCAGCCCTTTTTTTCTTTCTCTACCACATGATATATTTGTTAAAGCTTTGCTTTACATCTGTCATCTCATTTTTGGCCTTCTCAGCACCCTTAAGTTACAAGCAGGGCAAGGTTTCATATGTAGAGATGAGGAAACAAGCTTAGAAAGAAGTGACTTCCAATGGAAATGCCAAAATTGGAAACCAGGTCTTCTGACACCAGCGTTTTTTCTCTTGCCACTACTGTCTCCATCATAACCCTCAGCCTCCTTTTTTGGTTGTGAGATGAGTCCTTTCCAGATCGAAGACTAGTGATAATTTAAGCTAACATTCATTGAAAACTCCTCAGGTGCCATACATTGTTCTTAATGCTTTGAGTGTGTTAACTCAGTGAATCTGCACAACTTTTGTGAAGGGTCATTCTCTTTTCAGATGAGGAAACTGAGGCACAAGTGGCTAAGTACCTTGCACAAGGTTACGCAGCTAGTAAGCGTGCAACTGGAATGACTTAGGAGGAAGTTAGTCTCTTCTCTGAGTGTCTTCCAAACTATTAAACATGATACTAGCAAACAATTGATTGATTGCTTACTGTTGTTGATGCAGTGTTTAATGATTTTTCATGCATTATCTTTAGTCTTCCCGACAGCCCTGTAAGATAAAAACTGTTATTTCCATTCATAGTGTATATGAGGGAACAGAGGCCTAGAATGTTCTGGCAATTCACCAAGTCACACAGCCTGCTTTCAAACCCAGTTCTGATTCCTAAATCTATAGCTTTAAATTTCCTGTATTGCCTCATCCATGAGGAAGAGACGTATAACTGCACTTTCCCACCCATCTCCCTCAGTGCCATTAAGACTCTCTTTCTGGTGGTTTCCAAGACTTATTTTGGGTGACAGTTTTTGAACTGGAGTATCATGTAGTAATAAAGACTTTGGCCTCCCGCCCAGTCGGCCTCTGGCTTCAAAAGAGGAAAACTTTAGTGTCTGCATGCAGAACCACACCCCTTTCACCTTAAATGGAAGCTCTTGCACTCTGGCTGCCAGAGGAGCTGTCCCAAGGGAACTGGTGCTGGGGCCCTGGTTGTGGAATAACTGAGGCCTTTGAAGAACTGCCCAGGGCTTGCCCTCCTTGAATAAATGTTTGTTGAATTGAATTTGAAGTCTCCTGTTCACACACTGCTGCTCCTCTCCTGCCTGAATGTTCACGTTTTCTTTAGTATTTCATAGAGATTGATGGAAGCAGAAACCAAAACTCTTCCCCTGGAGAACGCATCCATCCTTTCAGAGGGTTCCCTACAGGAAGGGCACCGGTTATGGATTGGCAACCTGGACCCCAAGATCACAGAGTGAGTCTAAGTCATCTTAATTTGTTGCCTACAAAACTGGGATGTTTGTAGTGGTGGTGTTCAGAAGAATTTTCAAGAGATGTAGGATATATTTTCGCCCTTTTATTTATGTTTTAATTACCTTTGAAGGGTACATGCTTTTGTTATTAACCTGTTATGTTGACATTTTTCTTATATTTGGACTGTTCTGCAAGAACACAGACGTGGGTATTCTTTAAAACATATACTTCGGGGCGCCTGGGTGGCGCAGTCGGTTAAGCGTCCGACTTCAGCCAGGTCACGATCTCGCGGTCCGTGAGTTCGAGCCCCGCGTTGGGCTCTGGGCTGATGGCTCAGAGCCTGGAGCCTGTTTCTGATTCTGTGTCTCCCTCTCTCTCTGCCCCTCCCCCGTTCATGCTCTGTCTCTCTCTGTCCCCAAAAAATAAATAAACGTTAAAAAAAAATTTTTTTTTTAAATAATAAAAAAAAAATAAAAAATAAAAAAATAAAACATATACTTCATTTTTCTTACTTGCCAAAGATGTTCTTTTTTTTTTCACCAATTTGAATCCTTGTACCCAGTGACTACAGGACATTATTTTCTAGAATCAAGCCACAGCATACTTTTATTTCTCAAAATGAGGGAACCAGCAGACGTCTCAGTACCTTCACCAATGGGCAGAGGGTACCGCTTGGCTGTAATTCATGTTAAGCAGCCATGGAACCATAGAAGGTCAGAGCTGGAAGGCATCTTAGAAATCATGTCAGCCCCTTTGGTTTTCATTCATTCACTAAATGGTATGGTGCCTAATGTGTGCCAAGTGCCTATTTGTGCCAAGTACCACACTAAGCAGTTTTCAAACTTTTTAAATCTGAGGAACCTTGTCTTAAAGTAATCAGAACCTGTTTATAAAATACAAGCTCAGAGCTGTGCTGATTAAAGTGGGGAAGAGGTCCCCCCAAAGCCTTTTGGCAACTGCCACCCTTTCTTTGGCAGTCAGTTAGAGGACTCCATGTTACAGGACTCCATGGAGCACACTTGAAAACCTCTGATAGGACCCAGGTCTCTTATCCTACAGTAGAGGAAACTGAGATCCAAAACACAGAAGTGCCTTGCCCGGGGTAACACAACTAATTAAATTGTCCTGACTCCCCACTCTTTCCATTGTGGCCATTATAGTGGAAAGTACTTTCTTAGCAGGAGAGAATTAAGAGGTGTTTCCTTCCCCCAGTTGTTCAGTAGGTACAGGGCTGTAGTTGGTGGCAGGATGGTAAGGAGTGAATAGATCAGCTGTGTGGGATCGGTGCTTAAAGCAGGCGTGGAATATGTCATCAGTCCTAAAAGGCAGTCCCTGTGGAATAGTGTTAAAGGCAAGGTGAGAGGAGACAAGAGAACCTGCTTACTTGAGTCTAGGATAAGAGGAGGTGTATATAGGATTGGGACTGGGAGAGAGGAAAGGGATGTGAACTAATGGGTCAGGATGGTAACAGAAAGTTTAGTTCTTAATTCTGCTGACGTTCAGATCAGCTAAATGAAATTAACTTTAGGTTCCTCTAGGAATTATGCCCTTTAACATATGTTGTCCCCATATTATGTTACTTTGGTCACTGGGGCCCTGGACTGTGGACTGTGCATTTATTTTGGTTCCCTTTATGGCTTATGGCTTTGAGGATGAATGAATGTGTGAATCAGCCCAGCCTCTCAATTATGAGTGTTGATCAGAGAAGCTGTTTCCATCATCTAAAAGCCAGGCTGTGGGGCGCCTGGGTGGCGCAGTCGGTTAAGCGTCTGACTTCAGCCAGGTCACGATCTCACGGTC